AAAAAAATGTGCAAAATGATGTAAAAATAAACTTTTGTAATAATTTTAAAAAGTCCAAATATCTAAGTTTATACAGAAGAAATAAATCAACATGCTGCAAAAAAAAAAAAAAACGTCAGTTTGGATTCTTGCTGGTTCTTCCAAGCAGACCCCTGCTTTTCATTAAAACAGGTCACGGCTCAGCGGCTTTCAGGGAAGGGAGCCACAGAGCAAAGCAGTTAACAGCACGAGCTTTTCCAACGCTGCCCTTTAGTAGCTGTGTGGTCAGAAGCAAGTTCCTAAACCGTGCTGTGTCTCAGCTTCTTCCAGGGCAGAATAATGCTCAACTCGTAGGGCCCTTGGGAGACTGAATGAATTCCTACAGGGAAAGCACTTCCAACAAAGCTTGGCACACAGTAATTGCACAATACAGATTTGCAAAAGGCATTAATGAATTCTTCTCGCCTGTGAAAGCAACTCCCTACTGGGCTGCATTCAGGATTCTAATCTCGCCTTTCATGTCGGCTCCCCACTGAGCAACTTCCGTCTCTCAAAGCAGCCCCTGGGCAGCAAGGCTTTTGGAGTCGGCGTTGAGTCCCCTGCTCCTAGACCACCCTCGAGTTTCCCTCGCGGGTAAGATGCCCTTCGGTACCTTGCAGGCGGGGGCAGCTCCCCCCTCCCTGACTGCTTCCAGAGGCTGAGGGGAGGACACCTTTACACTCAGTGGGGTGCCGGGTGGGAGCTACAGGCCGACACCCTACTTCGGGAAGAGCCTGTGGAGTTCAGAGCCTGGCTCCTGTCCCCCCAGCCCAGGGCCCTGCTGGAGGAAGCGAAAAATTAAACATCCTCTTTGTGAGCAGCAAGAAAACAGGACATGGGAAGCACCCCACAGGGTGAGCATGGGCCCCCAGTGCCTGGCACCCCCTCCTCTTGGTGATCAGCTGGTGGCTACAACCCTTGCTTTCTTACACTGGCTCACTGCTGCAGGGAGCCTTGTTCCCACCACGAGGGCCACCCCCATGAGGGCCACTCACACGAGACCCACTAGCCGGGCTGACTAGGTCCCGCTGCCTCCCTGGCTCTCGGGAATTCCTCCCGAGGTGCTCTCTCCACGTCTCCAAACAGCCGGAGGAAAGAATGAGAGAACAAAGGAACAAAAGCGTGAGCTCCACAAACATCTATTGAACACCAACTGTGCAGGGCCCTGTTCTAGGCGCCGGGAGGCAGCAGTGAACTAGACAACAGAGATCCCTGCTGTGTGAAGCTCACATTTCTAAGGAAGGATGAATAAGTTTATTCAGTTCTTTGACTACTGGCCAAACTTGTTCCTGCTTCCAGGTCTTTACACCTGGAGTTCCCTCTGCCTGCAATGCTCTTCCTTCAGATATCCCTAGGGTGCGCTCCCCTTCAAGTCTCAGTTCAAACGCCACCCCATCAGAGAATCATGCCCTGACCATGCTGTGCAAAAGAGCAACTCAACCCCAGTTACTCTTCATCCCTGTCGGCCTATTTTATTATGCTAGATAGTTTTTATCACCACCTGACATAACAATATATATTTCTATATTCAACAGTGAGTTTATACTTACTACAGTTACTTTAGTTAAATAATTTCATAAATGCTTGCATATTTATAGCAGCATACATATTTACATTAAGATGACTCGTTTAATATATATACTATACAAAGTGTATATGTGTTCCCATTTATATAATGGTGTGTTTATATTTATTGTACCTACTAACATTTACATACTAGTAAACAGATCAATATATATTTCTATACAATTGCATGCATATTAAGCGGCATATATTATATACCTAATATGTATCTCCTCTTGTCTCCATTTCCTCTTCTGTAAACTGGGGATAATTAACAGTAACCACCTCATCTGGCCCTTATAAGGATTTAAATGAGTTAAATGAAAGGCTTCAGCCATGCACTAGAGTCTACTTGCCAGGTCTGCAAAGCTGCTTGTAAAGTTTTCAGGGATTTTGCAAACTAGTTGTTCGACAGAGCTATCACTAAAAAAGAAATGATAGAAACCTATCACTAAAATAATTGGCTTTTTAAAAGGAGACACTCAAAATTCAAAATTAAAACAAACACCTTTATACTCGTGAGGTCATTCCCCCTTATTTTAACTGTATGGTAGAAATATCACACAATGGTGCACCACTGCATCTCTTCTGAACTGTGTCCTCCATGACTACACGTAAATAATGTAAAAGCCTGGCACATGGTAAAATAACTACTTCCATAATTGTATTTGCTCGATGACCCGTGATGTAGAGTCTCTTTTGTGGGTAGGAGTTAAAAGCGCCTGAAGAATGCATAATTACAGAAGGCCAGCAGGTGTGCAGAGCGACACCTATTTAAAGCTCCCATAAATGTGAACTCTGTCCTACTTATTCTCCCCCATTTTACAGACGGAGAAACCCAAATTCAGAGATGGTAAAACAGCGATACTAAAGAGCGGAAGTGGATTCGAAAGTGCAGGCGAGCCTCTTTGGCGCGCTCGTGCACTTAACGCACGCCGCTTATTCTCACGCTAACGATCCCAGCCAGAATCTCTCTTTGCAGCACGTGTAAAACGAATGGGCGCCGTGGTGCTCATTGCATTTCGGGAAATGTAGTCCATAGGCTTAACACTCCCCACTACTGAGAAGGGAGGGGAGGAGAGTAAATCGACCTGAGCCTTGAACAAAAGAACCGAATCCATTCTTCTATCTCGCGATGTTTCAGTCACGCATTGCGCGAGTTCAGCCGATTTAGTCGTACCCGTTGCATGCTGGGAGTGGTAGTTCACAAGCCCACCTACGTCGACGCAAGATGACGGGACTCACGTTGAGCGTTCAGGTCTGGTCTGAGCCCAGCCGGAACCTCGGCGTTCAGCGATGACATGCTTGCCACGCTGTGGTCGCCCCTAGGCATGCGCGACAGGCATTCGGATCAACTAAGAACACAAACTGAAACCCTCGGATTTCTAACTGCTTTGCTCTGTCGCCAAGGGTCGGGCTGCTCGCGGACTGGCTTTCACCCCTTTCTACCCATTCGGAAAGCTTAAGGTAGGCCCCGGGGCTCAGAGGAAGAGGGTCCAGTCTGAGGAGATTGAGGTACGCCTGCGCTGTCCCGCCGGCTAGGGAAGAAGTCCGCCCTCGGTGCTGCAGCTGCGTCGTCCGGGCAGCTGGCACCCGGTAAACTCCAGACCCAAGGTTTGTCAGTAGAAGGGGACCACAATGAAGGGTGCGCTGGGTGGGGGTGGCGGATGTAGGAACCAGATATTGGCAGAGCCGCCTTCAGGGGGATGCAGTATTCCCAGTGGGGAATAGGTTTTGAGGAAATAATGAGGGACCGGGAGGGTGGCCAGAGGCTGTTAATAGGGGGTTTGGGTGGGCTCCTTGAGATAAATGGATGTCTGGTGGGGGTATTATCCGGCAAGCAATGGAAGTGTTGTGGTGAACGTGTTCGTGGGGGCCATTGGGGGTGTGTTCACTGATTAACGAGAGGATGGTCGAGAGGGCAACTGGAAGATGATGAGAAGCATCCTTGCGCGGTTAATGGCGGTATAATATTTGACCAGTTAATGAGTAGTTAGTAATTGAAAAGATAGTGGTAAGGCTATGGAGAGAGTTACAGAAGCCGGTAAAGGTCGTGATCAAGGAATTAATGGGCACTGATCAAAGAGGAAATAAGGAGAGGTTGAAGGAGTGTTGCAGTCAAAATGGATTTAGTGGGCGATCATAGCACAGTCATCAAGGAACTAATGGGAACAGTGAGCAAAGACAGGGTAATGATAAGCTGTTAGGGTGGGTTCATTGGTTATTGGGGGACACCGTGGGCAGTGAAGGGAGAATGGGAAACAGATATATGATCATCGGAGATTAACTTGTAACCAGAGGTTACAGGGAACTGGTTAATGTTATGATCTGTACAGGATCAGTGGGAGGACCTAGTTAATGAAGGTTGAGAAATCATAGTAATTGAAAGCCTAATGGGCGAATAGACCATGTCCTTCAGGGACATGGCCGCCAGGTATTAATGAGGGCTGATAAGAATGTAAAAATAAAGAAATTACTAGGGAGCAAGCCATTTCAAAAATTAATGGGGAATGGGGTGGGGAGAGATTAATCAGTTGGGGAATGCAGTGAGGTGGCATTAGGATAATGGGAACAAATGAAAGGAATTAATGGATGCTAATGGGGTTATATGAATCTAGAGACAGTGAGGATAGGTGGGGAGACAGTCAGTGAGATGTTAATGGGAATGAGGTGGGCAGAGAAGGGTTAATAGTGAGAGTTACTTTCTCTAATAATGTGAAATGTGGGGGACAGCAATGGCAGATAATGGGGTCAGTAATTGGTCATTTAGGAGATAAGCATAGGGTCAGTGGGATCCTTGGGAATATCTTGGAGTTAGAGATGGGATTTGTAGAACAGGTTGTGGGGAGTCTGAGGGGTCCTGGAGGGTGAGTGATGGAGCCTGAGCTCAGTGATGGGGTCTGAAGTCAGTGACTAGGCTTCCTGTCTGCTGAGTGAGCTGTCATGTGGGTCAGATGAGTCCTTTCTAGCTTGTGTGGTTGTCACTGCCCCACAGAGGCTGGCGGCCCAGTCACCCAGCTACTGACACAGAGCGACATTAGCTTGCTGTTGGCAGGTCCCTGGGCAAACTGTATGTGAGATGGGACGGACGTCAAAGGACAAGCGGGATGTCTACTACCGCCTGGCCAAGGAGAATGGCTGGCGTGCCCGTAGTGCCTTCAAGCTGCTCCAGCTCGACGAGGAATTCCAACTCTTCAAAGGTCCCCACCTGGGGGGGTCACTGTGGTGGGAGGGGGGTGAGCAAGCGAAGGAATAGACTAACGGGCTAGGTCTGCAGAGTTCTCTGTGGTAGTTGCACTGACTTGGAGGGTCTGTGGGGCAGGGGCCAGGCAGGAAGATGGGCATATACGCAAAGGGAATTGGGGCACCTGAGCAGTGGAAAGATGGTAGATGTTCACCAGGGGAGAGGGGTGAGTTTTACAGGGTCCCTGGGTTGAAGAAGTGGGTGCAACTGACCACTACACCTTCCTGTGTGCTCAGGAGTAACACGGGCAGTTGACCTGTGTGCAGCCCCCGGAAGCTGGAGCCAGGTGCTGAGCCAGAAAATTGGGTGAGTGTGGAGTCCCAGATTGGGGGGTGAGGCGGGTTCTGGAGGGCAGTCTAAGTGGTGGGTAGGTCAGGAGTAAGTGCGGGCTGACACAGACTATGTTGTCCACAGGGGCCAGGGGTCTGGCCACGTGGTGGCTGTGGACCTTCAGGCTATGGCTCCGCTACCAGGTGTGTTACAGATCCAGGGGGACATCACTCAGGTGAGTGCATGACTAGAAGTGTTGGAGTGTATCCTGGGCAAAGAATCCCACCCCCACCTGGAGGTTACAAAAAGTAGAAAGAAAGACAGAAATAAGCTGAGAAGATACATGGAGAGAGATCGAGACAGTAACTAAGAGCGCCCAAGACAGTGTGATAGTGGCAAAGTAGCAGCAGGTTGTCACCGCATAGAGCTAGCAAAACATGGTGGGCTGGGTCCCGGAGGAGGCCTCGGCACACAGATCAAGCCTGAGAATTTCACTGACTGGGGGCTGCAGGCAGGTCCTGGGCAGGTGGGATCAGAGGACTGGGGGGGCAGGGCTGGGCCACTCATCCTCCCTCTCTTCTGTAGCTCTCCACGGCCAAGGAGATCATTCAGCACTTTGAGGGCTGCCCCGCGGACCTAGTGGTGTGTGACGGGGCTCCTGATGGTAAATAGCAGGGATTGGGAAGCCAGGTGGGGAGCTGTGTGTGTCCCTCTGTGCACCTCCCACGGCTTCTTTCACCACTTAACTCCTTCCTACCTCTCCCCTCCACCGTTAGCTGTTCCCCCATTTCAGGCAACTTCTCCCGCCTCTGCTGCCTGTTCCCTGCCTCTCTCTTGCCCTCCCCACTCTGTACCATTTTTGCGCTTTGTCTACCTTTCCCTCTTCTCACTGCATTTCTGCAATTCTATCTTACTGGATTTTCAGTCACATCAGTTCAGTGCACCTTTACTGAGCGACGGGTGTGCATCAGGCACTGATCTACATGCTAGGAAACAGTTACAACTAAAAATCCACTAATCTCTCACCCAGTTGTGACTAAAAATCCACTAATCTCAGACCTCACTGAACTGGTGTTTTGGTGGGAGCAGATAGAAAAGAGTTCTCTAGAATGCCTTGAGGAAATTCTTGAAAATGGAAGGGAGAAGAGAATACCTATTGGAATTTTAAAGTGAATGGGCTAAGGGCTCACTGAGTCTACAGCAAGGACCTAAAGGAGGCGAGGAAGTAGGGCAGGGGCATGTCTGGAGGAAGGACAGTCCAGGCAAAGGGACTGGCCCAGCCAAAGGCCTTGAGGTGGGAGGGTGCTTTGGCATGTGTGAGGACCAGTAGGGAAACCATTGTGTGTTCAGAGCAGAGTAAGTAAGGAGAATGGTAGGTGAGTCCTGTGAGCTGATGGCGGGTGTGGGGAGAGATCTGTGTACTCCAATGAGGGCTTTTTCCAGGGAGAAAAGCCCTGAGAAAGTTGTGCACAGAGGAAGGCCAGGCCAGACTCAGAGTGTGACAGGATGCCTCTGGCTGCCATGAGCAGTGGGGGGCTCAAGAGTGGAAGCAGGGTCCTGAGAAGGAGAGCTCCACCACAGTCCAGCGAGTAGTAGGGGAGATGAAAAAAGGGTTAAGTCAGGCAATCTTTTGAAAGCCAAACAGACAGAATTTGCTAACAGCTTGAGTGTGGGAGTGAGTAGAGCACAAGCTGTAGTGGGGGGTGGACATCAAAGGTGACAGCGAAGATTTTTGGCCTGAGACCTGGATGGTCTGGAGAAGATGGTGGGAGGAACAGGTTTGGGCAGGAAGGTCAGGAGTTTGGTTTGGGACATGTGAAGTCTTAAGATTTCAAATAGAGTTGGAGGAACAGTCTAGGCTGGAAGTAGAAACGATACTTCTGATACTTTCATATACAGTTGTTTTGAGAATTAAAATGAGTTCCTGAGGGTTGGGAGCACAGACTATGCATCCTTTTTGCAGATGTTAATTTATATGAGTAACCTTAGCAGCCTGGGAAATGGTCTTAGTCTTCTGCCCTCTCTGGAACAAGAAGACAGCTAGAAAAGATGGCTCCCCACTAATGCTGTTCCTCTTGCTGCAGTAACGGGACTCCATGATGTTGATGAGTATATGCAGGCCCAGCTCCTCCTAGCCGTGAGTAAACCTGATCACCCCTGCTTCAGTTGGGCCCCTCCTGGCTCTCCCCACCACAGACTTAGCCATCTGTCCTGCCCACAGGCTCTGAACATTGCTACACACGTCTTGAAGGCAGGGGGCTGCTTTGTGGCCAAGGTAAGCCCCGGGAAACCTGCTGGGGGGTTACAGAGGTGTCCCAAGGACTGTCGTCACATCTCCATCTGTCCGGCCACCCTGCAGATCTTCCGAGGCCGGGATGTGACACTGATCTACAGCCAGCTCCGTGTCTTCTTCTCCAGCGTGCTCTGTGCCAAGCCCAGAAGCAGCCGGAACTCTAGCATAGGTGAGTGGTGTGGAGGACCACGGGGCAGAGGCAGATCTTGGAGACCTGTCCCACCTGTGGCAGAAGCGGCAGTCTCCCCTCACTGCGTGTTCTCCCCACAGAGGCCTTCGCTGTGTGTCAAGGTTATGACCCTCCTGCAGGCTTCCTGCCGGACCTGACTAAACCCCTCCTGGACCACTCTTACGGTGAGAGTCTGGGCCCAGTCCCTGGAGAAACTCTACCTACTTCTGAACTTTGCCTCAGGAGGGCTTGCAGCCCCACCCCCATGGGACACTCTGCCCTTTACGGGAATTCAGCCTCAAGAAGACCCTTAGCCCTGCCCTCTGATGGAAATTATACCCCCATACGGATATTTTGTACCGGGAGAATCTTTTTATTTATTTATGCATACAGAACTGGGGTACAGGCCATAAGTGTGGGGGTGGTGAGAGAGACAGAGTAGGGAGGAGAACATGCAGATTGACAAAGTACACTGCTGAGGGAAGCAGCAGTAGAGACAGGAGACTATGTGGGTTTCCTCCCTGGCTGGGGATTGAACTCCTGCTGAAGCTGCTGCGGCTAGCTTCCTAGTGCTGCTCTTTAACCTGTTGTGCCACCGGTGAGGGTCCCCAGGAGAAACTTAAGCTCAGTCCCTTAATGGTAATTCTTGGACCTGTTAAGAATTCTGTCTCGGCCCTCCCTGCTGGCGCAGCGGGTTAAAGCACTGCACTGAGAAGCTAAAGCCACTTCCACATGAGTTCGATTCCCGCCTGCCCTGGAG